CCAGACAAGGGATGCTATATAAGCAGTCCCCCTCTATCTGTGAATGTGCGCATTTAAAGGAGACAGAAGGCAAGGCTCCAGTGATGCGGCCGGGGAGTTTGATAACCAGATGCCTCTGGAAAAGTGACCTCTGGTTGGACGTGCTGCCGATAAACACAGACCATACAGCCTCTGAAGGATAAACACCCTCCTGCAAGTGAAAAGAAAGGCATCAGGTTCCATGGTAATATATCCAGCCACATGCAGTTCTGTTAGAGAAAATAAATGGAGAGATGATGTGGGAAAAAAACCACTGAAGACCCATGGAGGGAGGGAACATCAGGCCTGGATGCCAGTTGTTGGAGAGTCATTCTTTGTAGTCACAAGTTAACAAGTTGGGCGATGCAACAAATAACCACTTCGAGCTATTGCCGCCTTCTCAAGAAAGCTGATAACCTCCTGCTGTTAAAAGCTACAAGATCTGACGGCCAGCCCTTGAGCAAAATCCTAGAATGTATATCTATAGGGGTGAGTGAAGTGCTGAGATGAGTTAATGTTATACTATGTATAATGGAAGTTGCAATGGCAATGTATGCATTTGGCCTATCTGTGTTTCAACATATAACAAATAATTATGCCACAACCTAGGTCAAACAAGTAGCAAACGTTGATGACCTTACAAAAGCAGGTAGAGTGATAGGACCTGGTAACATCACGTGATCCACAAATAGGGTATCACCCAAATGCCAGCAAATTCTTCCCCATTGTAATGCCAGAATACTACGACCAGGCTATAGAGATCTTAAACGGAAGTGAAGTCAAAATAACAGAGAACGACTAAAGAGCAAGGAGTAACTGGAAAAGTAAACGAGAGTAAAAAGCTAATTTAAGTTATTTCGGAAATTACTAAGACTGAGCCACTTGCTGGGTATGCTGTATTCACCCACGGAATTAAACCTCGCTGACAGCGGACCTACTGAAAAGCCAGTTGCAGCTGCCATTTTTCAGACCATGCGAATTTTTTTTTAGATCTTCCTGTAGTTTTGCCGAGTCCTTGTCAGATTTAATTACACACCCTATTTTAGTGTCGTCAACAAATTTACTCATGTTGCTGTCAACGTGTATATCTATGTCGTTTTAAGGTTGTAGGTAGTAAGCAGCTATCAAGCAGCGAGGTACTACCGCCTGCGAAAATATTGGAAGCATAATGTGTTGTCTAATGGTAGACCCTTCTGCCTCATGGCATCACTAATATTGTGACCAAGTCCAAGGTTGCTCATCGGACTTTCTACCTCATTTACACAAAGTGAAAGATTACAGGGAAATAGTGTTAGGAATGATGACAAAACTAAATTAGGCAGGGAGTTTAAACCTAAACGCGGTAAACGGAGGACTCGGAACACGACTAACTTAAATGTCTACTACGCAAACAGTAGAAGTATGAGAAACAAAATGGATGATATCAGGGCCTTGGTATGAACCGAAAAAATCAATATAATAGCATTCACTGAAACATGGATCAACCTAGACTCACGTGAGTTACCTGTCGAATACCAAATTGCGGGTTACAAATTGTTCCATACCGACAGGCAGACCAGGAACGGAGGTGGAGTAGCAATCTATGTCAGGGATAATGTGAAGTGTGAAATAAATAAGGAAATAAAAACTGAGCGGAATACAGAAACAATTTGGATAGAATTAATCGACAGTAGGGAAAATTAATCACAGGAGTAATATATAGACCTCCCAATCTTGATAGAGTTAATGAGCGACTTATCTGGGATGAAATGCGCAGGGCTTCCATACACAACAAAGTCTGTATAGTAGGCGACTTTAACCTTGGCCAAATAGATTGGACTGACCTTATGGGTAACTCAGAATCAGAGGATTTTCTCGAAACGATCCAGGAATGTTTCCTAAGTCAACATATAACCGAACCCACCCAGGGTAATAATATACTTGACTTAGTTCTGTCGAACAGAGAAAACCTCATTAGCAATGTCGAGGTAGGGAACAAGCTTGCAAACACCTAACACAAAGAAATTAGATTCCAGTTAGATTTTCAGGGCAACCGCAAGGAAAATTCCACAAAAGTCCCAGATTTCAGAAGGGCAAACTTTAATAGTATGAAGAGGCAGTTGAGGGAAGGAGTGTCGCGCTTGAGGGTAAACCTGACAGTTGAAACCTACCTGATAACGAGATCTGAGATTGCCGAGTTCCACGACACTTTAAATGCACATAGGCAGAACATACCATACAAAATACTCAGATCAGACAACAATGACCCTAAATGGATAAATAATTATTTAAAGAACATTATTGGCCAAAGGAAGGCTATAGGTAGAAGGATGAATCGTGGCGAAATTTACCTCAGGGATTATTATAAGGTATTGGTGAGTAGGGTCAAGACCGAGATAACGAAAGCTAAGAGGAATAATGAGGTAAAGATAGCAAGGGAGGCGAAGACAAACCCCAAAGGATTCTACCAAATGTATCAAACTAAAATACGAGAAAAGATTGGACCAATACGGTCAGACACCTGCGAGCTAACTGATAAAGACGAAGAAATGAGCAATAATCTGAATAAATATTTTTCAACAGTTTTCACCAACGAAAAGTTAAACATGATACCCGAGGCACCGACTCTATTCAGAGATAGTGAGGAAAACAAATTAAGTGAGATAGTAGTGACTAGCAACTCAGACGTCCATTCCTTGATGAGAACTATGAACACTGAATTAACTAAAGTCGGGACCTGGGTAATACGTAATAAACTGACCTTAAACCTTGAGAAAACCCACTATACGATCTTTCACAGAAGAAAAAACTTACCTCCTGACTTGAACCCCCTATACCTTGGTAATATAGTCCTCAAACGCGAACAAAATACTAAATTCCTCGGAGTTATTGTTGATGAGAAACTTAACTGGAGAATCCACGTACAAGCGATTCACAGTAAAATCAATGAACAGTGAGGTATCATGTATCACACTCGACAGTCACTCACTCTCACAGCAATGAAAGAAATCTATCATGATCTTGTTTACCAACACCTGATACACTGTCGCACACTATGGGAGGCCTCTGGCTCTTCAAAAACACAATATCTGGTTACTGCACAAAAGAGAGTTGTACGGACAATGACCTACTTGAAAAAACAAATCACACTAACGAAAAATTTGCTTTTTTGAAATATTTACCATTCGAGGATATTAACACTTACTGCTGTGCCCTCTTTGTTTACAAATCTATCAATCACTTGCTTGACAATAATTACTTCCAGTTCCGGAATAATCAGAGATACAACTTAAGGCACCCAGAGCTACTAAGACCACCCCCCATGCGCTCCTCTCAGTCCCAGACCTCCATAAAATATCATGGTGTGAAGGTGTGGAACAACTTACCCCCACCCATCCGAGCAAAGACTACGCTCCCTTCTTTCAAATCATCTCTAAAAAAATATCTATTGTCGAAGTATTAATACTTCTTGTAACACTTACGATATTTATTGTACCACCAAATCCGTTTTATCGGAAATTATCATGTAAATAAATAAGTAATTACCATTGCAATAAACATAATTGTCAACTAGACATAATCCTGAAAGCTCTGTCCTCTTGTTCAACCTTATTACTGTACAACCCAGGTTGTACTGCTCCCCCATTATACGTATGTTTTTAAATTCCACTCTAATTTATATGTGTATGTGTATGTGTATATATATATATATATATATATATATATATATATATATATATATATATATATATATATATATATATATATATATATATATATATATATATATATATATATATATATATATATATATATATATATATGTATATGTGTATGTGTGTGTGTGTGTGTGTGTATGGATAAATAAATGTAAATATATAAATGATGAATGTGGGTGATGTGCGTGAGTAACATGTTGTTATTACCACCATGCTATTGTACTATTCCAGATGATACTAAATGTTACATAATACTTCCTTGAGATAAATGTATAGTATATATCAGGTGCCTCAAAGAGAGCTCAGGTTCTCAACTGGCTCAGCCATGTTAATATTGTTATTATTATCCACTCTGTATCTGTATTTTTCTGGCTAAATGAAATATTTCAATCAATGTTTCAATCAAACTAGTGACGTCACCCCAGTCGTATGTTGTGCCGTTTATACTTCTTCACTGTTTCCTGTCCTGTAACCACGCCTTTATCCATTTTAGAATATCTCCTCCAATTCCATGAGCCTCCACTTCTCGTAGTAGTCTATTGTTGGGGACTTTGTCGAAGGTTTGCTGACGTCGAGGTAAACCACATCATAATCAGCATCACATTCGCTATCCTCCAGGATTCTGGCACTACACCCGTTTTTAATGACATGTTAAACAACTTTGCTAAGGTCATACTAAGCTCTTCCTTACATTCTTTTAATAATCTGGCAAATATGTCATCGGGACCTGGTGACTTATTCCACTTTAGTTTGTCTATTTTTCTTACTGACATCGTTACTAGTCACAACTGGTTTGGTAATAGAGTTGTGGATATGTGGAATAGGCTACCGAGTGCTATAGTAGGATCGGGGACGCTAGGGAGCTTCAGGACGAAGTTGGATAGGCACATGGAAGTGCTGGGATGGGTGTGAAAGGGATCTGCCCTATATGGGCCAGTCGGCCTCCTGCAGTATCCCACTTTCTTATGTTCTTATGTTCTTATGTTCTTATTCTATTTTCTTCACTATCTCTGTATATGGTCGGTGCCTCGGCCATCGTGTTTAAATTTTCGGTGGTGAAATTATTTTTTTAAATTATCCGTTCAGATTATTGCTCATTTCTCTGTCATTCTCCGTTAGCTCGCCGGTATCTGAATGTATTAGTTTGATACATTTGGAAAAATCACTTGGGATTTGACTTCGTTTCCCTTGTTATCTTCAGTTCATCTTCAGGTGAAATAATCTGGGAAATGTAATCTTCAGTTGATCTTTGTTTAGTAATGTGATGTGTTTTGTTCCCGGTAGGCTGAAGGGCTGGACTGGGCCAAGACTGTGGCTCTGTTGCCCACCTCCTCTGGCACGACGGGCCTGCCCAAGGCTGTCATGGTGACTCACCGTAACTTACTCATCAACCACCTGAGGAGCCAGTAAGACTGTTAACTAATACCAAACCTAACGTAACCTAAAGTGACCTAACTTAATCTAAAACCCACCCGGCCCTACTGGGTCAGCTACACCTTTTCCGGTCACGTAACCAGGACCACACCCAGCCAGTATGATGCAATACTGACCGCGCACTGGCTGGGGCACCACGTGGTCGCAAGGAAAACATAATATCGTAAGAAAATCTCCCCAGAAGTAAACATGGCCCATAGACAATATAATTATAAGCTCTTTTCCTTGACACTTAACTAATTATATACACAACCAAGCGAATTAAATACAGATACAGAAATTTTTGAACGACTGAATGTGGCGGCACGGCCTTGGTACGAGGGTGGGAATCATACATTAATTGACTTATTCATTCTCTGCTTTTCCTAATTCATTCCTATCTCTGTACCTTGTCTCTTATACCATGCATAGAGTTTGTGCATGTCTAACAGGGGTTTGCTGTGTGTCTTTATGAGAGAGAGAGAGAGTGAGAGAGAGAGAGAGAGAGAGAGAGAGAGAGAGAGAGAGTTATTGCATATGATATTTTTACTTTAATTTTTTGTCAGGTACCAAAGTGTTGTTAACCCAAGCGCCAGTGAGGGGAGAAAGGAGATATTTAAGAGTCTCTTGTTGGTGCTGCCTGTGTGTCATCTCTATGGCTTCGGTATAGTTATGGGACGCCTCTTGGCTGGTGGTACAACCATCTTCCTCTCAAAATTCTCACCCAAGAGGTATTTTGAGGTCATCCAGGATTTTAAGGCGAGTGTGAAAAACTGAAAGGCGTAAAATGAGAAGTTGGTAATAATCTAATTAAAGTGAAACATCCACGTGCTTGTTTTTATTTCTTGGTTATAATTTTACATTTGAAACACATCTTTAGATAATATAAGGATTCATATGATATTAAATAATTTACTTAATTCATCAGTAAAAGTGTTTGTGGTGAGGCTGTTGTTGAGCTTAAAGTATATTTATCACCGTGGTGCAGGTGACAGCCTAACCCCTCGTACCTCACCTCATTGACTTGGTGGCTAACACATCCCTCCAGCAGCAGTACAACCTCTCTTCTCTCAGCAGACTCCGTCACCTCCGTCGTGAGAAAGGTGACTCCATGTGTATTCAGCAGTACAGGAGCACTGTTTATTTAGGAAGAAGAGCTTAACTCACAGCACAAAGGTTACAACAACAGGCCAGGAGAAGGAATGAATAAGTTAGTGTGTAAAGCCAATACAAATAGTATGGAGACCCCAAGTGCCCAAAAGAATATGAAAGATCGGGTGAAAACCAATGTAATAAACCCAGCCAGTATGTAAATGTGTCGGAGGCTATTGGTCGTAGTCTACTCCATCGAACCCTGGGGCCTTGATACTTTTTTAATTGGCTCTACTCAATGGAGAACCTTCTAATGCACTGAACAACTTCTCCCACGTCACTCTTGCATCATAACCAACTGCATCATATATGGGAGAGTTTAACACCTGGCACGGTAAAATGTGGCATCACTAAGTCCACTACACTAATGTTGGTGTTACTGTACCATGACGTCACTTACACTGCCCCCATATCTAATATGCTATAGGACTAGGCTTGTGTGTGAGTGTGTCTGTTCTGGGCAGCCAAAACGGCACAATCGTTTTTCATCAAACTTGGTGGAAAAATCGCAAAAAATTCATACAGTGGAACAAACCAGGTCCCATATCGACGGATTCTTTAGGAAGCCATTACATAACCATTTTATTTACGCTGGAAAACGATGCAAGTCTAGGGACTTGGCGCACCCAGCCCACGGTTGCAGTTATCTTAC